TCAAAATGTTCCGCCCTACGGGCTAGTCGACGAGGCTGAGAATGGATCTACTGTATATCTCTTTCAGCTATTGTCTCGCTAACTGATGGCTTTGTCGGACCGGTGTTCCGGATAAGCTGGAATAGCATTCGGCTGTTTCCAATAGCACTGGCTTTCTCCATCTCACGGCCCCTTGCCATGCACCAACCTTCCTTCGTCAATTCCAACACACCTTGTTCGACGTATTCTTGAGGGGTTACGGACACTGTGAAGCTCAGTTCTCATCTGAACCTGTTTCCGTGCTTAAATCAAGCTGATCGATGCCTCGGAGATCCATTCACAGTTGTGACATTTCAAAATAGGTGCACAGCAAGCGTCAAAGGCATTCTTCATGGCACGTTAGCAACGATACTAGTCCGCGTTCAGCTCACCAACCTCATTCATCACTGATATTTAATGAGGCCAATTCGTCGTAATATTGTTGAACTGCATATCGCGAATACTAGTTACAGGTAAGAAGATGAGAAGATAGGCGCTTCTTTGAAGTAGGACGTGGTGGCGCCAAGCGTGTGTGCACTAGAGCATGGTCGGCAAGTGCCCCAAACTGAACGACTGTGCGCCATTTTTAGCTGGCAGCAATATGGTCACTTTGGGTCCAAGTCATTGAAGAATTCGGTGGGCACCAGATGACGTGATGTGAGCGTTTGTGCTGGAAAGGCGTGCTGCTAAGGTTGTGGTCGGCGCACAATTGCAGGAGTCGATCATGATTGTCTGTTTGGCGTGCATCGAGTCCGAAGTCTGAAAGACGACCCACTTGGGCATTCATATCTCCATCAACAATCACTTTGTCACTATTCTTCGTCTTGCTAAGCAGTGATGAGAGTGTTTAATAGAAATCGTCTTTGATACCCTCTGAACTGTATTCAGTAGGGGCATAAACTGAGGCCTTGATAATGCACCTTGGTTTCAGACGCTGCTTATTAACTCCTTTAGAGTTTCAAAGTCGAAACGCACACATTTGCAACAGTCTACGAATAGACATAGAGTCATCAGAAACTATGCGACTCAAAAGAAGGTACAGAAATGGTAACAGAAAACACAACACATCAAAGTCCATGGTTTCGTCAGAGGGCAAGATACTACCTGGTTGCCCAAGCCGAAGTAGGGTGTTGACTTAGGGGACACCACCCCGGGCCTTTGTCTTAAAAGCCTGGCCCACAAGTCAGTGGGAGCAAATCCAGCTCGGGAGTGTGATTGCAGAGACCCATTGGGATCGGCTTGAGGTCTGTCACATACAGCGTTGAAGGTTTAAAACAATGCACGTGTTTTACGACAGTATTATGCTATGCACGTACGACTACGGCCAGTCGCTGGTGGGCGTTGGCGAGTTTGTAGCAATTTGACCAGAGTCTATTTAGCTTGAGGCGGGCGATATCAAGTTATTGGGCACCCCAAGTTGCCCTCCCACCGTCAGAAACAATGCGTGACGCTCGTGCTCTACGTTAATCGAGCTGTGAGCTTATAACTCGGAGACCTGTTGTCTCTCATGACTAGCATTTATAGGGATGGGGTCAACAACCTCTGCATAATCTCCCAAGTGGATTGAATTGCGAGACTATTTTAATCTGACCCTTAACCATTGACTTGCGTAATATGAGTGGTCCTTAAGGCCCTTGGAAAATGCCACCCAGCGGAGCTCAGTGAGTCACGGGGGTACGGTAACTATCCCATCAAGCTGTGGTCCAGTCTCGTCGAGATGGAGATCTTAACGTGGTGCGGCGGTTTGCGTACCTCTTCGACTGATTGCACTATACTGGGTAGTGCCACGCTCCCTTTGAGAGCTACTCTTACCAGGTTGATCAGTTAGTGGTCAGACGGACCCAGTCTTCTGGTTTTCCATGTTGGGGGTTGGAAATGCGATTGCGTCCATATCTCTGAAGCCAAATCTTTGTCACCTTCCCGCTACCTTGCGGACAAGCTTTTAGGCCAAAGACTTTAGTTGAGGACCCTAATCGTTCTGTCTGTATTTTGGCACCTTGATTGTATCTCACCCCGGGTAGAACCATAACCATCTCATCAAACTTCAACCACATCCTGCATCGGCCGTCGCGCAGCTTATCAAAGGTCGTTTTATCTGCTACCTACAGCAGGGCGAATAAGTGAAAACGTAATACAATTCAGTAGTTGAGTTGCACGCCGAACTGAGCAATTGGATAGCAGAAGTTTCGTTGCCAGTCCATGTGCATCGGTGCTAACAATTAGGTAACAGATACTGGCAGAAGACAAATCCGGAGATAGATGTTACCAGGCAGTACTTTGTTCTTTATATAAATTTCCGTTGTTTGTAACTGCTTTATTCTGACTGGTTAATCATGACTCGTACTCAGGTGCTTCCCATTGTTTGCAATTAATACTATTGCGACGTGGGATCTTGATCGTCTCAATTTCTTTGATGCAGTTGGTGTAAAATTAGCATTCTGAACTAACCTTGGCTGCTCTGTTTCTTTCCGTCAATGGGTTGTTTTCTTTTGAACTGTGGTTTTCATCTCACTTGGGATCTTTCCGTCACCGTCGTTAGTATACTGGATCGATGTCAATGCGCATGTTGATCAAATGTGTTGTGGAGAACCAAACTTCGAGAGACTCCCTTACTTTTCGCATCTTTCGTTGAGCATCGATCTTTGTTTTGTTCCGTTGAAAGCTGTGCCCTTCTGCGTCCCCATAAGTTGAGACCAATGACGTTGCGTTGTTTCTTCACATGCTCTTTTGTTCTCTTGTATCCTTGTTATTAATTTGCTTTCTGTTTGTCCTTCGTAATGTCTTTCGCAACCTCTGCAATTTATCTTGTATACAACTTTCGTCGCTTTCACGCTTTCTGTTTTCCCTTCTGTTTTTATCATACTCTAAGCGTAGTGCTTGGTCTGTGGGTTACCATACTGTGGTGCTCTCTGAATGGCCTTTCCGTCATTTCAGATATGTTGTTCACATACGGCAGAATAACGCGCTTCCTTGTTGCTGATGTGGACCCGGCGTTTGTGTACTTTTGGTTTAGACATCTTCCAGTGAAACTGCTTGGAAATCCATTGCGTTCATACCACTTGAATAAGTGTTTCTCTTCTCCTTTTGCTTCGGTAGTATTACAGTTGGATTCGATTTTTTGGGGTAATGTCCGCACGCAGCTTATTTTGTGTCATTTTGGATGGTTGCTGTTGAAACAAGATTTGGTCTATGTGTGTGCGTTTTCGGTAAACCTTTTTTTAATTTGCCTTCCGCCGTCTTGGTCATTATGTCCAAACAGGGAAGCCCGTTTTCTGTCTCTGACTCCATTGTAAACTGGATGTCGCGTATAGCATTGTTTGTTTCACTGTGGGACCAGGATTCGTGAGTAGGGAAGTGCAAGCAAGTTTCCGATCAGGACATGGCTTATGGACTATATATTCACTCTGCGGTACGTGCTAGAGCAGCGCCACATGCACCGCGGACCGACAATTGTTTTTTTTCAGACTTCAAGCGTGCTATCTATTCTTTTCGAGATACTTGCGCCGAATGTTGCCCCATGAAATATGTGATCCTTTTACTTGCCCTGTACTTGAACACCACAGACCGCGCCAGGGTCTTCGGTGACCTGTCGGGTATCTTTCCGATAACTTGCTTTCGTCGGTTGCCAAATTTCCTCATTTTGTTCAACTGTTATGGACTCCATCGTGCAGTGTTTCGTTTTGGGATCTACCGATGCTGTTGAGTTCCTGCCTGGTGAAAGGTTAGTTGATCTTGATTATGCGGACGATGTTGGGGCAGACCAGTCAACCCTGCATAATCTCTAGACTGGTCCCATCATTTGACATGCGCTTCACACCGACAAAACGCGAAGGATAATTGCCAACCACCAGCCACTTGATGACCCCTTGGCCCTGACGAGGAACTCAAGGCATTTGACCACTTTCCTTAGCAGCTGCATCAGCAAAGACGGGCGCATACACACCGAAGTCAGATCACGTATGACACAAGATAGAACAGTCTTCTTGAATCTATGGCGTCAAAAAGTCCTTTCCGTCAGTCTGATAGGCCGCGTTTACAAGGCCACAGTGAGAGTCGTCCAACACTATAGGAGTGAAACTTGGCCTCTTCGGTCTGACAATTTGAGACGACTTCAAGTCTTAAATTATCGCTGTTTGCGAAGTACTACTGGGCTCGAATGGCACCAAAGTGTCCGCAGCGATGATGTGCGTAGACGAGTGCTAGGCGGTGATAATTAGGCTAGTTTATTAAAGCAACCGATAGCGCTAAGTAAGTTGCGTTGACTTGGGTCATGTACTACTTATGACTAGTCACCACTTACCAATGAATGCTTTGTTTTACCTGCAAGATGTGGGGTGCGGCAAGGCTCGAGGTAGACAAAAGCTGCCTTGGTAACAGGAAATAAAGTCAGTGACGACCAATTTTTGTGCCGTCGATTCTTCTCGCCTTCCAGACTGGGGTCCACGCGATTTGCCTTGTGCTTGATTTGAGACGCTACAAGACATCGCTGCCAGTCGACACCAGTGACGCGTCTGCTGCCGTCTCCTAGCCGCTTTGCCTGTTTGAAGTGTTTTTGGTGCTGATTTATCTACGGAGTAATCACTGATTATGACAGGAGGCAATGAAAACCGCAAGGAAGCCGTCTTGCCGGTGCTACTTTATTTTTGCACGATAGCGAGCTGTTTGTGATGGTATGTTGCTGACAGGATGTAGCCGCTTTGGCTCTGTATGTTTGCTTAGAGCGTTAAGGTTTTCCGGTAAGTCCCCCTTCTCTCCTTATTATTCTTCCTTGTTTAGATCAACATAGTTGTACGGCAGCGAATCATCAATCCAAATGGCTGGTATAATGCTGTTGTTGATGACGATGATGCGTGATTGAATTAAGCACCTTTATTGCTCTCTCAGTATTAGTAGTATTTGTCGTCTAATCTTGTTAAATTCGCTTGTGAACTCGCATCTGTCTGTGTCCTGTGTTGCTGTTCAATCCAACACGTTTCTTTTAGGGACTGCATTTGTGGGATGTGGAATCGTGCGCCATCATTCAGCGGTTCGTTGGATACAAACAAGAAATGTTTCGACTTCATTCGACTTTTGGTGGTACAAATGAACAGTTTGTGGCCACTGGTAGCGAAAGTGAGTTTCTTACGCTACAGATCACGTGTCTTCATCTGTCTCCGTTATTTTAAGAAACGTTCCGTTGTATTTACAAATGATTTTTGTTTCTACTGCTTCCTCACTATGGTGTCAGTCACTTCATATCGTTGTTTTCTGTGTCAATGACATACCTTTGTTTCTAGTCTAGCACTGACAAGACTATAATTTGTATTATCATGCAAGCCGGCAGCGCAGCCGTGGGCAATCTGACTCAGTCTGTCGTTTGGCAGTGGCCACTTTGCTCACTATACTTACCTGTGAACTCACCAGCATTTACTGCGATGTTTGCTTCATGTGTAGTGAGAGAGAAATGAGTGCGAACACTCACCAAATCACTCGAACTGCGCATGACTCCGTTATTCTGGTCTGCGTTTCTGCCGTTGTGCGAGTATCGTTAGTTCTCTCATCTGCCGAACTCTGCCATATCTACTGCGTTTTTTTACCATCAGGTATACCTCTATCCGTGTTCGACTGTCGTCGCTATATTTGGCCTCTGGATTTACTGGTAGTCATATTCTATATCATTCACTATGGCATAACTGCACCACCTTGAGCGCGAACACACTACCCCGGTAATTGTGAGCTGGCGCTTTGTCACGCCGTTCGTAATGTTTTGATCCCATTTTGCGTCTGTGATAATCAGGTCGATATCCGCTTTTCATTGAATATGCACGTTTTCATGTCATAACTCTCACCTTAGAGGAGAAACATTTGACCACTACTTTAAGCTCTATTTATGCGCCATAGCATTCTCGGCGCACTCGGTTGCATAATGCAGAATCCTTATCGTGCGTGCATTTCATCCCTAGTTTGATGAGTTTTTAATTCAGTCATGCCATTCGTGTTAGTTGCGTAACGCTCCTCGCGCACTTGTTCACCACTCGCACCATTGATACTCATTTACCGAAGAGTATGCGATGGTCTGCCCGAGCGAACTGAGGAAACTGACCAAAGGATGGTGGTCTGTTTCTCCATTGTAGTTACGAGTTGTCAGTATAACTATATTTACGTTAAGAGAGCTTGTTTGGGGGCTGGCGCTACTGCATCGCATGTAACTACCGGCCCTTCGATTTGATCGGTGTTGTTATTCCTTCCCCCGCACAATACTTTCGCTTTTCTCGCTTTATTTTCTTCCAGCAATCTTTCTATCATTATAGCATGAGCCCTGGCAACCTGGTCCGCAACACTTCACTGTGCAAATCACAATAGGCACCATGATTGTTGGCTTTTTCTAACAGTCTACGTTGAATCGAGCCCCAGTCGATTGTCCATGTTTGGGATTCGCTTGTGAACCTTAACGGGTTTCATTCCCCTCGGGGCTGCATTTCACCCGGTTTACAGCTGTTTCATCCATTCTATTCATGCGGACTGTGAACATTTCTGCTCATTTCTGATGGACTCCTTAAGTCGAACGCTTTGGATTATACCTTCTAACTCATTCCGTCAAGTGTGTTTACTCATCCTTTCGGTGGGTTGGTAACAAGCCATCCACGATCAACAACTGATTGTTTTCTATTTTCACTTCAGCGGAAAATAACTCGCGTCTTCCTGTGATGGAAAAATATGGCCGACCTTGTTTGTTTTCCTCTCGGACGTTTATAGGAATCCTTACGACGACTAGTAATATAGTCCCCCACCTCTAACCACGTTTCGGCTCTATCAACCAGGACTTTCATCCTATTTATACCATTCTTCTATCGGTCTGCTTGCTGAAGTTGGGATCATTGTTTTCTCTTCGAAACAGCCTCCTGGAACTTCACTTTAATTTTTTGATGACAGCTTTTGGCCGTTTTTGCCATATCAACTTGCCAATCAACTTATGGAATAAATACCTTGATACTTGCATTCTTACCTTTCGCATTTGCAAATGTCTGATTTTGCATCTGTTCCCGCTTGGACCGTTCTATGCTTTCATTGTGCTGTGTAATTGAATCAAGCTGGTCACTGACTATATAACTTCGCGGTTTCTCATACCATAGTTTCGCTATTCCGTCTGCTATGTTTCTCATGATCTCTTAATACATTTTCCACGTTTTTCTGCCCACTCATTCTCCAGATGGTCGAATTCACATATGGCACGTGAACGGTGGAAATCATTCAATCCACTCTGCCTCTAACGGGAGTCGTGATGCGATCACTTGCGTGCATTGGAATCCAATGCTTCCAACCATGCTTGCATCCGTTAGCGATGGGGGCGAGGTTTGCATTTGGGGGCCACAGCGTAAGTGCATCAAGTCTGTTTGAGTGCCCATACCGTGTTTATGCTTGTCACACATGTCAAATGGACTAACTTCCACCACATTCGTCTTTCTCTGTTTCTTTTCGGTCCACCTATTAACCACCTGGAGTATTCCTCCGAGCCTGTTTATTTAGTTCTTTAAGTCGTGCATGGTAGCACTTGGCTAATCTCGATTTCACATGGTATCTAACAAAGAAATGGCTACACCACTAGCTTTATCAAACGCCGATAGTGCACTTCAATCCGACCGCGCTTTCTCACCACTTCATAACGCTTGGTCCTCTGACTTCATAGACGTGCGCAAATTTGAAGACCGGCGGTGGTTACATTTGACATCAGCGGGACAACAGTGACAAGCGGAATCCCGAAGTCGACTTTTGTTATCGAACGACTTCACTTTTGCTTTACTGGTTCAAATCACCAGTAATACATTAGGTAAAGTGTCATTCAGAGCCGCCAGCTCATTTACCTTGGGCTTTCTGCTTTGTACAACACCATTTTGGCGCAGCGACTGCCTCAGTTAGGTGAAACTTTACATCTGCTCATCACTCCCAGTTTCCTCTCCACATTGCTGCAAACTTAGAGAGGTTTATATGGGATGGTGAACGCTATCACTTTCGCGCTTTTCCCCCATTTTGTGACATAACCAGACTTTGCTGCAATTGTTCCACGTGTGCATTCTCAGCGAGTACGTTGCACATGTACGAATGCTCACTCCATGCTTCTGTGAATCTTTTTTGCTTTCCTTACATCTGGTTCGCTTTTTATCCACGTCGTCATCTGATAAAGGAATGCGAATACAAATAGGGCTGTGCTGCGTACCATTTGGTTTGTGTACCCTATCTTGAACTTGTTGTGCTGTCTATGTGTCGGCCGGTGCTGACTGGTGTGTTTTATGGCTGTGCTTTCTCCCACTCGAACAGCAGATACACGTCGCTCTTTCCAGTCAGCATACAACAGTGATTTATCTCTCCTTCTAACGCTTGTCTTTACAACTAGCAGTTGTCTGTTCCCGCGAATAATAATCTTCAGCTTGATTATTCTGTGCAATTTCGATATTCTCGACGACGGAGTGAATAACGCTTCTTATGTGGATCAGACCTCATCTCGCCCGTTATCAAGTAGGCCCCATCCCTCTTGTTGCTAATATCTACTCTGTTTGTCCCACAAACCACCAAATACTTCTCATCTAAGCCCAAATCAGACATACTGTTCCATATCTTACTTCATCCTCCCACTCTCGTTGCCTGCTGCACTGCGACATCGCTTTTAGTACGCATACTGAATCCTGGATGGAAGCAGCAAGAAGAGATGTCTCTGTGTAGCTGCGTCTAAAATCCCTCGGGTACCATGGCCTGTTGTGTTGGAGGGCGTTCGCGATATTTCATGTCGACATGTGTCTCGAGTACGTGCGGTGGTTGGTTGTTCCATATATCCACTACTCTCCATTCGAAACAGAGTTGGTCAGCGACCCGCTTCAAATCCGGTACGACAATCTTGTACCGGTGTCCTTGTTTGCTGCTTGGTGTGCGTATATGGAACAATAGTCTCAACATGGAGTAATCACTCAGATGTACCATCCGGTGCGTCGTGTTGAAGTCAACCCGCACTCGACGATAAGATAGGGTGCAAACTTCTAGTCTCTTGCACCGGTCTTCGTAGGGCACACCTCGTAAAATGTGGGTGAGCATGGTGGCCACATACTGTACCCGCTCAATCCTTTGTACCTCGCGCCGGTGATGTGACAGTATGCTGGTGTACCCTACTTTAACCTTGGTCCTATGATTGGGACGAAGAACCAAGTGGCATTCTCTTCGGACCAAGTGCTGAAGCTGCGATTGTGCGCGCAAAGCTTACGGAGGCCGTTTTGGTAAACTCTATTCGTGTTCTCCACCGACATTCGGTCGCAGTGTGAGAGTACACCGAGGTCCTTCCCGAAAGGCGCGGGATGCAACGGCTGACCGACTACAGTGTAGGTTAGACCCTAACTTAACCTCATGAATAGCGACCTGACTGGGTTTATCGGAAGGTTGACCTCTGCAGACCACATGGGGAGGCGGTCGAGATCCCGCTGAAACTGGTCATAGTCATCGGGGGCTCTGATTACTCCCCACACCTTGAAGTCATCTACAAACAATGCACAAGGCGAAAGGAGAAGCTGAGGCACATGGTTAATATGGATCAGGAACAAAATGGGCCCCCAGTGAAGGGCCATAGAGCACTCTAGTTTGAGGATAAAAGTTGGTCAGATAGTTGTCGACCTGAACCCTCCACTTTCGATTAACAAGGAGTTTCCTGATCCATGTATGCAGTGAGTCGCCAACACTGCACACCTTCGGTCTCTGGAGGCGGACTTAGTGCTTCAGATGTTAAAAGCCTTATTGAAGTTAGTGTAAATGACTTCCCTTGGCTCAGCGCTTGCAACCATTCGTGCTTTGTCAACAGCCGGTTGGTGATGCATGAACGACCTTTCACGAAACCATGCTGTGCGGGGATAAAGAGTATTTTCGACTCCAAAAACTGCAGAAGACCCATCTTTACGTTCTTCTCAAGTGTCTTAGCCAGAATAGCCGTCAGGTAGATCGGGCAGTAGCTGTCTACTTTGATTGTGTCACCACCTTCCGCTATGGGCCTTATGCCTGCGTATTTCCAGTCGCTCGATAATGAACCAGTGCATAGTGACTTGTTGAATAGCTCAGTTACGGTAGGCGAGATAATGGCCGATAATGACTGAAAGATCAGTGCGTGGATTCCATCCGCCCCAGTAGGCTGGGTCCTGTCAAGATTGGCCAGCACATTGCGTCGTACATCTTTAATCCTGCAATCCATACTGTCAAGTTCAGCGGGGGCGGTACTCGTCGAACTCTGTACGGGCACCTGGTCACTTGTAAATACGGAAGTCTAGTGCGCTTCGAATGCGGACGCACAATCTGTGCTCGAGCTTAGGCGCTGTCCATCTGAGCCATCCAACACTGGCACATTGCCTGCTAACCTCAGGCGGCGCTTCCCGTATGCCATAATCCTGATGTGCTCAGTTTTTGTTGGTGCTGCAACCTGCTCTTCGAAGTTTTGCGCTCTCGGGTTTTTGCATTGTTGCAAAAATTTCGCTGTCTCTTGTATACCTCGTACTTTTCGTCAGAGTCAGCCAACACGAATTTGTTACCTAGTCCGCGTCGCCGTCGAGCCAGTTTACCTTACTTGACTGGTCTAACTTTTCCATAATTGTGGGGTACAAATCGGTCGCACAGTGATTTCACTTCCTGTTTATTTGTAGTCCAGCAAGTTTCGACTTACGAATCCTTTGGTAACGACCAGTCTATCTGACTTGCAGTTTGCTCGAGGCAATTAAAGCCAGCCTTCAAATAGTTGAAGGCTGGCTCCAGCGGAGAATATGGCAGCGACAACTCCAAGCAGGCTCTGATCATCGCGTGGTCACTCGCTCCCAGAAGCTGCAAGATCTGGCGCACGTTGCTCACAGATGGTCAATAGTAGGTCTAAGCAAGATGGAGTCTCGCGCATCTGCTGGTTGATACACTGTGTGACTTCAGTTTTAACTATCATCTCCGCGAACTTCCTCTTGACTTCACAATGACCGGGGAGAAGTTCATCCTAAAGCCACTGCAGTCGAGGTAAGCTGAAATCAGCCATGAGCAGCAACAGGGGACTACTCATGTGGTTGCGGACATGCGGCAACCAATCCAAGCAACGGCTCAGGGGATTGTGATAGACCACGCCCACAAGCAACCCGCAGCATCCAAATAAATAAGTAAATTTTTAATTTCGACAAAGCGAGGCACGCCTTTTGTTGCACATAATAGCATACTGTGCAATTTCAAGAGCAGGTGCAGTCAGTTGTGTGGGCCCATATGGCCCAAAGTATGCATGAAGTTTATTCTCGAGAGTATCGAGGCACGGCCTCGCAGGCATAATCAGAATTGTGTAGGCAAACTGTTTCAAAGAGTACGAGATGTAAGGATAGGAATTACAGGGATCATTGGAGTGGAATATGTGTTGGTGAAAAATGATCCGATGAGGTTGTCTACGCAATGCAAGTCAGGTGAGTGAAGCATGAGGAAAAGTGTGTAAGGTTTTAAAAATAGTGGCATGTCACTGATCAAACATGTACGTGTAGTTGTGTGGGAGCGGGTATGTCCACAGAACTTGTGAAATGAGGTATCGGTCAACTTGCCAATGCGTGGTAGGGGCCAGTGACTTTATTGAGTGGCAAGTCACATCCGCCACGTCGCAGTGTTCTTAAACAGACATTTGTGACTTTTTTGGGCGAACGCTTGCCAGGCGAAAACTCACCATGTCCTGGAACACTGCCGATCGGTGGTATGACATTTGCATTAATGCATTTCGTATTGTCTCCTCATGTATGCATCTACCAGTTTTCGTCTTCTTACCGTGCTTTTCAAATTTCTGAAGGGAACTAACTGCTTTAAATTGGCATTAATGTTTCTTGACCGATTGTTCTCGCGATTATTCTCAGTCATGTATTGCCAATTTGTGTCCGTTGGCTGCCTGGTTGGCTTTTTCGGAGTCGACCGCGATTGTTTGGAGCTGGTGAATTCAGGCGACTCGGGTTACTTGTATTTTGTAAATTCGCTTTCCGAATTTCTTTAGTATATCAAAATTGCGAGGTATGTACGATTTAACTGACCTGCTTTGAATCCATGGCCAGATGTGGGCGTCACCGGTATGTCTTCGGAGGTGTTCCATGTAGGTAATGAAATTCTTTAGAACACCATAACTGCTCACATAGACCGCCAGCGCTTCAGCAGGTGCTCACAAGACTCCCACACAAGGATTTTGTGTTTAACAGCATGCCACAGTGGAAGCACGAGTAACCACTGATTTCTGCTTCTTGGGCGATTACTTCGGAGTTTAACCATGTCTCAACCGGCTCTAATACGTCTGGCCGCTGAGTGGTTACAGAGTAGCATAGCTTATCCCGTTTGTTCAGCAGACTGATGCACCCA